GCTGCTGCTGCTGCTGCTGTTGTTATTGCTGTTGTTATTGTTTGTTAGCGTTGCTCTGTCGTGTTTATCTTCTTGGTGTTTTGTTTGTCTTCCTTCGTTTTTCGTGTGTCTGTCTTATTATTATTATATTATATACAGATACTGCATGCATATAGTATTTGTTTAATTTATTTGTTTAATTAATCTATTTATTTATTTATTATTTCTTTTCTCTTTTTTTATTAGGAACTATGATTGCGGGTTGGAATGCAAACAGCGAAGAACCAGAACTCTACTTCGTTGATGATAAAGCCACGCGGTACCCTTTAGGGTTTAGGGTTTAGGGTTTTAGGGTTTAGGGTTTAGGGTTTAGGGTTCAGAGAGAGACAAACATAGACAAAGAAAAGAAGAGAGAGGCAGACACAGACAGACGGAGAGGAGAGACAGGGAGAGACGAAGAGATAGACAAACAATATATAATATGTATATATATCTATGTATACATTTATATATATATATATATATATATATATACATATATATATATATATATGCGCACCTCTACTTACACCAGCGTATACACCGCGCGGTGTATATTGTGGTGGTTATTATTTGTTTAGTTTGCATGCGTTTATTTATAAGACCCCTTGAATAATTTGTTTGTTTTAATTATTGTTTTTATTTTGTTTTACTCGTAGACTCAAAGGAAATCTCTTCTCCTGCGGCAGCGGCAGCACCTTCGCTTACGGTATACTGGACAGCGCATATAAGTGGTGAGGCGTATGTATTTATTTGTTTAAATAAATAAAAATAAATAAATAAATATAAATATATTAATATAAATATATTAATATAAATACAGATAAATTACTTTGAAGATACAGATGGATGGTTGTTTATGTATTAATATGCAGATATATGTAAATACATATACCTTAAATAAATAAATAAATAAATATAAACAAATAAAAAATAAATATAAATAAATAAATAATAGATAAATAAACACTAATACAAATGAAGATAAACCCAACAAAATAAAAATAAACAGAAAACAATAAAACAAACATATGAAGTAAATTAAATAAATTAAATAGATTAAATTAAATTAATTATGTCTTCAGGGATATGAATGATGAAGAGGCGGTAGAGTTAGGCCGTAGGGCGATATACCAGGCAACCCACAGAGACGGAGGATCAGGAGGCGTCTGCAGAGGTTTGCTGCTGCTGCTGCTGCTGCTGCTCATGCTGGTCATGCTGCTTATGCTGTTTATGCTGCTTATGCTGCTGCTGCTGCTTATGCTGCTCATGCTGTTTATGCTGCTTTTTGCTGCTGCTGCTTATGCTGCTGCTGCTCATGCTGCTTATGCTGCTGCTGCTTATGCTGCTGCTGCTAATGCTGGTGTTGATGCTGATGCTGATCTTGATGCTTATGCTGCTGTTGCTGCTGCTGGTGTCGAAGCTGATACTGCTGCTGCTGCTGCTCTTGCTGCTTCTTGTTCTGCTGCTGATGCTGTTGCTGCTGCGGCTGATGCTGCTGGTGCTGTTACTGCAGCTGTCTTGGGTGTTTAAGTATTTGTTGATTAATAAATAAATAAATTTATTTATTTATTATTTGTTTGTTTTGTTTAGTAAACAAATGCTGTAGAGGGGGTTGGGAGTGCTATTTATTATTTATTATTTATTATTATTTATTATTTATTTATTATTATTTATTTATTTATTTATTTATTTGATTTGTTCAGTATACAAATGTTTTAGAGGGGGTTGGGAGTGCGTCGTAGAGGCTGACGATGTAAATGCGCTGCATTATAAATATGCAGCAGAAAAAGGTAAACAGATTTCTTAGTTTTATCTTTTTTTATTGTTTGTTTGTTTATCATTTACTTGTTTATTTATTATTTATCTACTTATTTTAATTGTTTTCTTTCTTTGCTTCTATATCATCTATTTATTTATTTATTTATGTATCCATCTATCTCTTTCTTTTGTTTGATTTGTTTCTTTGATTGTTTATTTATCGTTCTATTTATTTATTTATTTATTTATTTATTATTTGTCTATTTATCTCCTTGTTTGATTTGTTTGTTTGTTTCTTTATCATTTATTTATTTATTTATTTATTTCTGTTTCCTTTCTCTCTTTTTGTCTCTGTTGTAAACCCTAAACCCTTAACCTCTACGACTCTCTGCCAGGGTTTGGGGTTTAGGTTTAGGTTATAGGGTTTAGGGTTTAGGGTTTAGGGTTTAGGGTTTGTGTGCAGGCGAGGACGGCAGTGTTCTTTAAGCCTCAGCCCACAGCAAAGACAAAAAAAATCAGCAGATAAAATTAAAATTAATCAAAATAAATTAAAATAAATTAAGTAATTATAGGGGCCCGTCCCTGCATTGCGGTGTATATACAGCTGCAGTGCATGCACCCCCTAAACCCTAAACCCTAAACCCTCTGTTTAACTGGGGTGGGTTGCTTTGCTCGTTTTTGTTTCCTTTCTTCTTCTGTTACGAAGAAGGAGATATAAACAAATATATATATATATATATATATACATATGTATATATATATATATATACATACATATAATGTGTGCTATATAATTTGTAATATATAGAACATATATAACATATATAATATATAATATATAATATGTAATATGTAACGTATATAGAAATATAGACACTGCGTAATATATGTACAAACAAAGAAAGGCAAACAAATAGAAACAGAGACAAACAAGCAAAGATAAACAAATAAAACAAACAGACAAACAAACAAACAAACAAATAAACAAATAAACAAACAAACAAAGAGGTAAAAAAGGAGAGTAAAGAGACCAACTAATTATTAATAGGCACTTCAGAAATATATCCACATACACCACAGATTAGGGTTTAGGGTTTAGGGTTTAGGGTTTAGGGTTTAGGGTTTAGGGTGCAACACAAGAGAAAAACACAAAGCGGAGAGGAAGTTGCTGCGTGCCTAAACCCTAAACCCTAAAACCTCTAAACCCTAATAACCCTAAACCCTAAAACTCCTAAACCCTAAACCCTAAAACCCCTGAACCCTAAATTTTATGCGTTACAAGAGCGAATAGAGTTTCTTTTGTTTTGTTTGTTTATACATTTTAATTGTTTTTGTTTCTGGTTCTGTCGAAGAAGGGTAAAACAAAAGAAAGACCTCCTTTGAGGCTTAAGAGCATTTGCTGCTGCTGCTGCTGCTGCTGTTGCTATAGGGGTGATGGTTACGCATGGTACAGCAGCTGCTGTTCTTTGTCGCTGCTGCTGCTGCTGCTGCTGCTGCTTTTTGCTGCTGCAACTGCTGCTGCTCTTTGCTGCTGCAGCACGAAGTTCGGTCGAGTTGCTGCAGGAAATAAGAGGGGCTGTTCATACACCTCAACATCTAAAAGACAAACAAAAACATAAATAATAAATGCAGCTGCTGTGGGTTTCTCTGCTGTATATACACCGCAATTGCAAACCAACGACACTCAGCAGCCTCTTCGCTTTTAAAAAATAAATAAACAAACAAATAAATAAGGAAACAAATTAATTAATTAATTACTCAATTATTAGTAATAACAATTATAATAATAACTGTAAAAATTAACAATAACATTAACTACAACAACAACAATAATAATAGTAATAATAGTAATAATAATAATAATAATAATAATAATAATAGTAATAATAATAATAATAACAATAATAATAATAATAATAATAATAATACGTATGATTTTAATTATTACGATTTGTTTAATTTTTTTTGATGTTTGTGTTTTTTCTTATACCTTTTTCTGCTGCTGCTGCTGTAGCAATTAAAACCAGCAGCTCTGCAAGCAGAGTAAATCTGCTGCTGCAAGATATTTTAGTGCTTGCTGCTGCTGCTGCTGAGGGCGCTGCTGTTGCTGTTGCTGATGCTGCTGATGCTATTGTTGCTGCTGCTGCCGCTTCTGTTGCTGCTGATGCTGCTGATGCTGCCGCTGCTGCTGCTGCAGGGGAGAT